CTGATGCGAGTGAAAACAAAGCAGAGTTTTTACGCGCGTTGGGAACATCTCCATGGCGTACACCAAAAGCACGTTGAATGCCATGCCCGCCCAAGAAATAAAAGAGTAGCACCATCCCAATCTTCCACCCCTTCAGCCACACGAACACGCCCGCCAGATTGCAAATCCCGCTCAACAAACACAGCCCACCCATAAGCACCTTCTGCCTCATTTTCCCAATCACAAAAAGCAGAGTCAGGTTCGACAGGAGACCTGACAAGGCATTCAGTCCGACGCTTATGTATAAATTGAAGTGCAAGCTCCCGAGACCCAAAGGTATCCCATAGTAGGCCAGCCCAACCGCGAATCCCGCCACGGGCTCATTATCAATTTCTTTGCTGCCCACTTGCGCCAGAACAAGACTTTAAATGCAGTAGAGTGATTCTGTTCTGCAGAATTCTCAGCCTACTACAAAGAATCCACCACCGTAAGATCAAAATTTTTTGTTGTGTTGTGTAATTTTTTTTGTTCTGTTGTGTGTAATTTGAGAGATTAACCGGAGTGATAAAAAAACTACCAAATCATTCCACTGTGAACTCTTTTTTTTCCCCCTAGATGTAGAGCCATCTCGAGGACTCGTGAGCCGAGAAGTAAACGATAATAGAGTAGACTACACAGGAGCACAAGTACAAATGTACACTACTCTCCAGGAGACCCTCCTTAGCAAATAGGCCAAAAGCAGGAGGGAGGGGAAGTTGAGGTCATAGCACACGAAGCCAAAAATGCCGACTTTCCCTCTCCATTTCTGGCCGACGAGTTCGCTCCCGAGGACGAATGAGCACGAGCCAATCACGGCTAGACCGAGGCTGCTCAAGAATCGGAACCCAGCGTCCATCCACATGTTCAAGAAAAACGCGGCCAGGCACCCAAAAATAGACATGATGAGGCATGATAGGGCTAGCATGTTCGTCTGGCCGAGGCTGGAGTCGGCCAGCATGAAGAGGGCTAGACCGCCGATCAGGCAACCAAGGAAGAAGGACGAGGCGGGCAGGCCACGGACGATCGGGCCCACGCACTGGAGGGCCTATTGGGACACCGTGGACGAGTGCACAGGGGAATCCCAAGACCACGAGCCCTCCAGCAGCCTACACATGTCGGCGCACGCAGCGGGGGATTAAGAGTTGCAACTTTATATTTTAAAATTATTTGTAAAAAATTAAACTAAATTTAATATAGTTTTCTCATTAATTTTAAAATTTAAGAATAATTTTTTAACAAGCACCCGTGTAATACACGGGTGTTGTACTAATAAATTATAAAAATTACTATAATATAACATATGTAAATTGCACAAATAACAAGTGTCATTTTAAAATATATAATAATATATAATTTTTTTAAGGAGTTTTTTCAATACAATGCCTGAAACATGTGTAAATTATCACATCGGGGCCTAACAAATTTTATTTTTCAATTCGGGACTTATTATAAAATTATCAAATTAAGTCCTAGAATTATCAAAATGTTGCCTTCCTATTGAAAAAACTCTTTTATATTTACACCAAATAAAAGGGAAGGTTGTACTCAGTCCACGAAGAGTGCATTCAGGCGGAGGCGCTGGAGGGGGATGGATCTGAGGACCTTCTGACGTCAGGGTGCTGCTCGCAGAGATCGTGCAGATCGGGGAAGAAGGCGGCATCCATCGACTGAGCGGCGCCGTGGTGGTCGAATCGGGAGTGGCCCTGCCGGATGAAAGCCCGGGACAGAAATTGGCCGAAGTTCCCGAAGCCGATGATGGCGATTTTGAGCTTGGTGGACTGGGCGAAGCGGGTGATGAGGTGAGCCGCGTCGTACGGCTGGGCGGCGTCGATTGAGTGGACACCGCCGCGGGAATGGCGAAGTCCCAGCGACAACTGATCGGGGAATGAAGGAGGTTTTAGCAGCGGATGATAGATAGCGGTGGATTGGTGGTGGGTTGGTTGAATGGAGGAGAAGGAAACTGGAGTTATTGCTTCTTTTATTCGTTTTCGAATGTGTTTTTATGTCTACTTGCTTGTTTTCCTTTTCATTGTCTGTTACATGTTGAGTCTTTTTTGGCACAAATTTATTCATAAATGACAAGACCACGTGCAATGTTTTTTCTACAACAACTCTGCCAATCTTAAATCATTAAGAACATGCTTGAATACAAATTCAATCCAAAAAAATCCAATTATTTTTAACTCAACCATTTTTTTTAACTCAACTTTAACTCAACCCACTATCATCAATATTATCAATATAATTAAATAATATCAATCAATCATTCTTACACACAACATCAATCTTAATTTACTATTCATCTACTCACATAATTTTAACTAACCATCACATCACATATTCTCTCTCCTACTTTTACATTAATTTAATTTTAGTTATTTTATTTTTAATATTATTTTAATATACCCACTAACAATTAACCATACAAACTTTTTCAAATTTAACCAACCCAAACCAAAAATCCAATCAAAACAAAACAAACTTATATCCAAGCATGCTCTAAGAGTTTTCACGGGAAAATTGTATCTCAAAATTTATAATATGCTTAAATTAAGGGGAGATGTTACGGTCATGTTACGGAACCATTTCGTCGGGGTCCGTAACATTTAGATCAACTATTCCCGACGATTACATGATGATTCAACGGTTGCGAACTCCGACAGAATAGTTCCGTAACGGGACTATAGCATTTCCCTAAATTAAGATCTAAATATGACTTGAAATGAATATGATATACCAAAACAATAATAATTGTAGTACTCGATACAAGTTTGGAAGAAAGCCAAGAAATATTGACTAAAGAATTTGGGTCATATCGGACTCCACCGTTAAAGCACAAGGAACTACAAGGACAAACAATGTGGGTCATATATGAAGTAATGTATTTGTTTACATGACTTCTTTTTTGTTTTCCTTTTCTTTGTTTGCTAAATGTTCAGTCTTTTAGGCACTGTGCCTAATTTAGATTGCCACTAGAAAAAGACAAGAAACAAAATTAAGAGAGACAAAGAAAGTTTGGACCAAACATTTCTCAAATTGAGGAAAACAAACATTTGTAATGATTCCAAATGTAAATCTACTTTTGTTAACAGAATTATTGAATTATTATTGCCTCTAATTAAGGAGATGGAATATGCACAAGACTAGGAGTCTAAGATTATCTCTAACTAAATCTTTATATTTGTATGGCTACATCTTCTTTTTACTATCTTTTGTTGGGATAAAGTTTTTTGACTAGCTCATTTGTTATTAATCTCAGATAGTTGTATTCTTATGAAATATGAATAATTATCAAAACTCTCCGAATAGCATATTATTTATTCTCCTATTTCTTTGAAAAGTTATGGTCATTGTACTAACCCTCAATAATGTTGAACATAGTGCATAACTATGAACAATGAAATTGTACAGTGTTGTGATTAATATGATTGAACTGTATTTTCATGCCATTTTTAATCAATATGTATTTTATTTAAAATAGCAACAAATGTATATTAGTATTTATAAAAAATTGTATTAGTATTTACAAAAATGATAGCACCATGTAATATTAAAAATAACATCGTATTCAATTAAAATCAACATTAAGTACGGTTCTCACACCATTATATTATATATATATATATATATATTGATGGGTCTGCTCTCAGATCTGGAACGGTTTGGTAGGAAAACGTCCGGATCTGGGATGAACCGGTATGAACGAGCTTAGATCTGGCCTGATGACCTTCGAGCCGTTGTTGGATCGCACGAACACCTGCAAGAACTCAACGCCGGAGGGTTTTTCCGGCGTAGAGCCTCCGACGCTCAAGTCAGTATGTGAGAGAGATGATGGGAGCTGCTATCAGAGCAGCAGTAATAGAAATGTATGGAATCAATGGGAGTTAGGGTTTTGGGATTACCTCAGTCCTTTATATAGGAGTTCAATATATACCTGAAGTCCCCAAAATGCCCTGGCCGACTTAAAGGAAATGTCCAGAATACCCCGGTCGGTTCACATTCCGCCTACTTCCTAGTCAGCATCTAGATCCTTCCTTAGCTTCCTTCTTATCCTTAACTTTCCTTCAATATGCGGAGGTGTGTCAATGCTATCGGGCACCTCGAACTGCAAGACTCCTTCAGTCGACTTGAGGTATCGAACCAAGTCGACTGGATCGCATTCCATCATTAATGGACCCTGATTCGTCTGATCGCTGTCGGGGCATATGTCGACTCGTTCCAGTCGACGGATATATGTTGACTCGGTCGAGAGCCGGGCTTCTTGATTGAACGCCATGAAATCCTACCGGCGGAGTCGACGGTGTTATAGTCGACTTTGGCAGTTCCGAACCACGATGATATGAACCGCTATGAGCCGATTGTGACAATGCCACGGTTACTGAACCGTTGCACGATAGTATGGCTATATCATGGTCTATGTGAGCCCGAGTGTCATCTTATTATCCTGTTGGGATCGGACACTCGGGTATTACCCTGTTGGGGTCTTTTCTGTGTTGTTTTTTAGTTTTGTTTTTGTGCCCCCGAGTATTACCTCGTTGGGGTCGGTTCTAGGCGGTCTCATGACCCGTCCTCTCACTTTTTCAGCTATTGGCTGCTTGTATTCAACTGTTAGCTGCATGTATTCAGCTGGTGGCCGTCCTTTTGCACATTTCTGCACGTTATATAAAATTTCTATCGGGGAAAAAAAAAGCAGATCTTTAATTAAAAATAACTTAAAATTGAAACATAGAGTTAAAATATAGATCCTATTATACCCAATAATAATGGAATTTCCCTTTAAAAAGTATAAGGCGTGCTTGGATACAAATATATATACTCAAAACGTATTGCTTTTCTTGATAATTATGGTTAATTTTGAAAAAGGTGATATAGTTAGTTGTTAGTGAGATTTTGAATTTCTCTTATAATAATATATAAAATAAAATAATAAGAGGGATTATGTGAAATTATGTTTAGTTAAAATTAAATGAGCGAATGAGTAGTGAATTAAAATTGATATGATGTGAAAGAATAATTGATTGGTATTTTTATGACATATCGGTATTATTAATGATATCTCATATATATAATTCTCTAATATGCTTAGCCTAAGTGGCAGACCGCACGCTTTAGGATTCTATGTGACAAAATTTCATGCTTCGTCATGACTTGTATAGCTTTTAATTTTCTCAAAACAATACTAGGCTTAGAATACGACCATTTTATGAGCATCAATTATGTTTTAATATAATTTCACATTATGTGCGTTGTTTGTAAGGCATGAAAATTGTTTCCTTCCTCTTTCTTTTTATTCATTTTTTTAAACTATAATACACTTTACTAACTCATATCATCAGAAATTCTATGGTGCCACATGTGGCACATGTTATGGTGCCACAACATGATGTGGCACATTATGATTGGTGCCACAATATGATGTGTGATAGTTGTGGCACCAATCATAAGTGTCACATCATGTTGTGGCACCATAAAATTTCTGATCATATTGTACATATATTTTAAAAGTTAACTTTTATATTTATTATCAATTTATCATATATAATAGATCAAATAATCATCTCTTCATTATTATGATAAAGTAAATAAATGATTACTTATATTTAAAAATAAAAGTTAAATCATAAATTTATTTTAATTGAAAAATAAAATTACTTATCAATTAAATAAATTTGCTTTATAATATAAGTTAAAATAAATATTATAGCATAAGATGAGTAAGTTGTATATGTGGTGGTGCAATTTTATATATAAAGAATAATAATAGCATATTATTTTCAATTATTTTTTTTTAATTTTTAAATAAGCCATTTTATTACTTTTAAAGTTTAAGTATAACTTTCAAGCATCCGCGTAAGACATGGGTACTGTGCTAATAATTATGAAGATGATGAAATTGTCTTGATTTTTTTTTTATTGGATTTTTTTATTTTGTTTTGTTAGTTTTAAAAAATGTGTATGGTTAGTTGTTAGTGGGATTTTAAATTTATGTTATTATATGGGATTTTAAATTTATGATAAAATAATATTTAAGTAACATATTTAAAGTTGATTGATGTAAAAAGTGGAAGAGAGATGATGTGAAGTGATAGTTAATTAAAATTATGTGAGTAGATGAATAGTGAATTAAAGTTGATGTGACGTGTAAGAATGATTGATTGATATAATTTAATTATATTGAGAATAGTGAAGTTGAGTTAAGGTTGAATTAAATTTGAGTTAAAAAAAAAAGATTGGTTAAAAATGATTGGATTTTTTGGGATGTTTTGTATTTAAGCATCCTCTAAGAATTTAGTTAAATTTTGACTACCAATCCACCTATTTATTAATTCAGAATGTGTGGCAGACTCTCATGTTTTCGGGATCCTATGTGGCAAAATTGCATGCTTTGCTATTAGGTTTGAATAGATTTTAATTTAATTTCAATCTAAAAATAATTAAGTTTGGATTATCCATTAATACATTGATTATTTAGTCATGTTATATTCATTATTTACATTTTAATATTATCTCTTATTATAACCATTGAATTGTAAATGTATTTTAAAAGTTAATATTTTTGTATTCTTTTATTCAATTTTACATATACAACTTACTCATCTTATGCTATAATATATCAAATTAATCATATATTAAAAAATAAATTATATATATCTTTATAACATGGCTTATATAAAATTAATCAAATTAATAATATCATGATAACTTCAATTTAACATTCATATTGTATATATGAAAAAATAAATTAAATATATCTTTATAACAATAACAAAATTACTTTTTAATATTAATCTGAAAAATAAAATTATTTATCAATTCATATATTTATATTTCAAATAGTTATATGATATAAGTTATTAAAATTACTATAATATAACACATGTAAGTCGCACAAGTAATAAGTGTCATTCTAAAATATATAATATAATAATATATTTTTTGCAAAAAATTAACTAAAAATTAAAATAATTTTTTCTCATTATTTTTAAAATTTAAGAATATTTTTGTAACAAGCAACCCACGTAATACACGAGTTTGTACTAGTTAAATTTATAAATAAACAAACCCACCCTTATTTGCACGCACCGCCAGAGGCTGAAGCAGATAATAATTGGATAAGCAGCAGAGCCGCCGAGCATCGACCGGACATGGACAGGTTCTTCGGAAGCGCGTACCGGGGCGACAAGGGAGTTCCTCACTCGGGCACTCAACCCTTTGAAAATATATGGCTCGGGTGCGCAGCCTTCGCCATCTTCACCTGGAATAACCCTTACATATGGCACATGACCAACCAATTCAAGTATTCCCAAACTCCTTCTCTGTCTCGGGCTACTGTCTGAGCCCGATTTTGTATTATCATTCTCTTCGTAGCTTTCATGTTTGTCTCAAAGATGCGTGCTTTTTTTTCGAGTATCGAATGATTCTGTGCTGTTGGGGAAATTGATGTTGCCTTTACGATGGGCTGAAATCATGAGATTGTACCTTTGTGTCCGATTTTGTTATTGTTCTCTTTATAGGGTTTCGTGTTCGTCTCAAAGATGCATTCTTTTTGTTAATTGGGTTAGTGATTGTTTGTTGTGCCTTTAAGTTGGGGTTTGCTGTGTGTTTGAGTATTGATCGATTTTGTGCATTTGGAGAAGTTGATGTTTTTCGTTAGGGTAGTTTGAAGCTTGTGAGTTGGGGCATAAATCGAACCATTTATCGGAATGATTGGTTCTATGCAGGGGAAGGAATTGTGTTTGCCGGAGCCGAACAAACATTCTTCGAATTATACACTTTTGTAAACTCACATTTACAGAATGTTGTGTTAATTTTGTGCCGACGTTCGTGATCCATGGATTTTGAACAAGAAATGTTATGTTTCTTTGTCATGTTTATCACCGATATGAAACTTTCGTAATGCTTAAGTCTTTTACTTCCATTGGTTGCTTTTTTTGTAACTCCCACAGGAAGTCTATGGCAAAGATATCTCCTTTTTTATGGATAGTTGGATTGTAAGGTTGTCCCTCTTTGGTTTAGGAAGAACGCCTTATAATGCATTCGATGTCAATTCTTTTTCTATTATGCAACCTTGCTGGATAAGTTCTTTTATGATTGAACCTGTGTTATACAGCTGACCTTGATCATGTTTGCCTGCTACTGAGATATGCTTGCATTTCTTCACTCAACTAAGTTCACGGTACCCGAAAGAAATATTGTTTCCATGAAAGAGGCAGACCTTTTGTTTACTCATATGAAATGGTATTTATGAGGAAATCTAATTATGCTCTTACATGTATTGCTTAGGATGGGATATATGTGGTGTTCTGATTATTGGGTAATGGCTTACTTAAAAATAAATAAATTAAAAAAAAAAAATCATAAATTATCTCCCAGAATTAGACTGTCATTGTTGATTTGTTGTGGCACTAGAAACCTGAAAGAAAAGTATAAATTTGACGAAGCTATTTGAAACACTTTCTATCTTTTACCAACAAGTCAGTTGTTTTCATCTTCGTTCCTAATTGTTATATTCCAAGTTCCAACTATGTATACTGTGTACTACTGCAGTTTCGAGCCTGTTACAAACATGTGTAACTGATGTCTTTTGGTTCTCTTTTTACCTTTTTTTTCGGTTTTTGGTTTTCCCCCATGCAGTTGGCATGACAGAGCAATGCTGTTTGAGCAGTATCACTGGAAGAAGGCACGTGCAAAGAACCAACCCTACAAGTTTAAGGTATTTTTTACTGAAAACGAGTTTCACATCGTGCCATTTCACTGAAAGTAACAGTTTTTTTTTCCTCACATTTTGGTTTCCATTTTGTGACACACAGTGGAATGAGAGGAGCAAGGCTTTTCGTGACGCGTACTACGTCAACTGGCCTCATTACTTCCCCTGAAGTCTTTCTCCTCACCGCCTGGTTTTATATCATATTTTGCATTTTCTCGTTACTTGCAGACTTTATGTTGGAGAACTTTTTATTACTGCTGTTCCCCTATGAATGTTTGTGGTATTGTGCTGTAATGAAGTGAGGCTTGGACCTGAGCTTCATTTCTTATTTTATGTAGCTTGTGGTGATTGATCGATGGTTGAATTTTGAGATGGTTGATATAATAAAAGTATTTAGTAAAACTGCAAATTTGAATTTGTTCTTCTCAAATGCTACCTCGATAAGCATTTGATATACGTTTGTCCGATCAAACTAGACTTGTTTGAGCACAAAAGATTTAATTTGAGCAGAAAAGATTTATTTATGAGTTAAGTAAATAAGTTATAAGTTAATTATGTTGCTTTTATAGTTTATCTATTTTGACCCTAAAAGATTTATACAACAAAAACATAGCCTTTTTGTCTCAAGCAAGTTGGGGTAGACTAGAGATGAAACCCAAGAGAACTAATGGTAAGAGAAACACAAAAAGGGCTCAAAACAAAAGGAAGAGATTGAAGCGAAAGAGAAATGAGCAAAAGTCACGGTACTGACACGTTGATTGCTAGCCTTCAAGCGTTACTATCCACCGCTAAATCCTTGGAGATATTCCAATCTTTAAGGTTTTTCTTAACCGACTCTTCCCAAGTGAGTTTAAGCCGATTTCTACCTCTCTTTACATCATCGACCCGATGTAGAATTCCCCTACGCACCGGTGCATCAGGAAGCCTCCGTTGGACATGTCCGAACCACTTCAGTCGATGTTGAACCATTTTCTCCTCAATTGGAGCCACCCCGACACTATCTCGAATATACTCATTCCGGATTCTATCCCTTTTTGTGTGCCCGCAAAATCAACGCAACATACGCATCTCTGATACACTTAGTTGTTGGACATGTTGCCTTTTAGTAGGCCAATAGTCAGCACCGTATAGCATCGCCGAGCGAATCGCCGTCCAAAGATTTATAAGTTAAGTAAATAATTTATAAATTAATTTTTATTGCTTTTATTACCAAAAAACAAAAAAAAAAAAAAAA